TTGCTTTGGTCTGCATGCAGCCTTTCAAACCAAAGGAGCTGCTGCTGCCTTCTCAGGTTTAGCATTGGATTTAGCCCAGAGTTTTGCTGCTGTTTAGTTGGCATTAGCCTTTCTCTGGCCACTCCTGTCCTCAGCTCAGCGGCTTGACTTACAAATCGTTTTGCTCCAGGATTTTGCTGGGAGAGCTCATAAACAAGACAGTGATATTGTGCTTCCAGATCCTGTTTTCACACACTCTGTTTTGCGTGGCAATGTCTCTTTCTAATGGAAGTGTCACTCACTCGGAGCAGCCATCTGGCCCACAGCACGGCTATTTTTTCATTAAAACCTTTTTATTTTTCCTTTTTTTTTTCCCCACCCTGTTTCCTGTCTGGACAGTTATTGCACAGGGAAAAAAAGGAGAAAATCGGGCAGCACTAAGGCTGACAGACTATTGCAGGGGATGGGAGCGGGAGGGTGCTGGGAGCACACAGGGTTTGGCAAGTCCCAAGGAAACTTTTCCTTTCCTGGCATTTCTCAGGAGGGGGAGCATTCGGTGTTTCAGCCTCCATGAGCATCGATTCCTTTTTCTTCTCAGGATTGTCCTTGGGGGCTCTGATCTCAATCCAGAACACCAGGATCCTGTTTGTGACAAATTCTTCAAGGAGGTGTGGATTTCCACGGCAGCTCGCAATGCCACCATCTTTGACAAGGTGAGCAGCGAGGTGCCTTTCCCCTCCCACCTTCCTGCGCGCCAGCAGCAGATCCAGTGGGAGAAGCAGCACGGGGAGGGTAAGGGCAGTAGGTCCAGCTCCTGGAGTTGGTCCGAGATGCTTGGAAAGAACGAGTAGGGTCAGTTCCAAGAGCAGTGAACAGGAAACTGGAGTTTGTGCATCCTCAAAGAGTGACTGCAGCCCGAGAAGACAGCCGTTCTGATTTCTCCTTTTATTTGTATCGGCTGTAGCTTCAGTGAGTCGCTGCAGTATATTTGCTACTTCTACTTGGCCACAGCGAATTTTCCTTCTGGTTTCTAATGAGATTTTGCAGAGATCAGAAAAAGCCCTGTAGCTTCCCCGTATCGCAGATAGGCACACACCTCTTCCCTCCTTGCTCTCCAGGCTGTTAAGTTTTTCCCATCCTAGGAAATGTATTTGATGTTTTGGTCTTTCTCGGGAGCCCTGCGTTGCAGTATTTCCCCCGCACTGACATGCCACTTCTTCTGTTTGTTTTGATCAGGTTTTTCGATGCCTTCCCAGTGACCAGGTGAATAATTTAACCCAACTGCGTGATTTCATCAACAAGCCCAAATTAGCAAATGATGATCCTGCAAAAGCAGCAGAAGAATTAAAAAAGATTCGGGGGTTTTTAGTACAATTCCCCTTCCGTTTTTTGGAGGAAGAGTACTTGCTTCCCTCTGTTGGAACAAAGGAGTCCATGGTACCCATGGAGGTTTGGACTTAAAAAGATGCAGACTGCTTTACATTTTCAAGTCTGGCTCTCTGGAGACAAGCTGATGAACGATGTGGGATTTTGGAAAGCTTTCTGTTGATAACGGAGGCAAAAAAGATCTCCACCAAGCTGATGTGCCTTTCTTAAGGATTTTGGTAGAGGAACTTGAAGCAAATTGACACTAGCAAAAGAGAGGAGAAGAAAGACTTGGAAATTATGTCAAATGAGAAGTTTAACCTCTGAAGGTGCCACTTCTTAAGATGTGTTCTGAGCACCTAAAGGATGCAGGCCACCTTCTAGGACAGGGAACAAACCCCAGTCGATGTTGCTAGCACCGCCAGCTGTGTGCTGTGGTTGCATACGTACCGTGATCGTGCTGTGGCTGCACAGGAGTCATGACCTGCGTGTGCTTCTGAGGCTTTCGGGTGTCTGCACCTTGGCTGGCCGGAGTCCCCCCTCATCTCACCCCTCTGTGCACCATCGGAGCACGTCGTGCAGCACTGGTGCTGTTGGGAGGTGCTGCTTGGTGCTGCCTTGGGCCGTCGTACAGCTTGCCCAGTGCAGGTGTTGCACTTCTTAAATGGAGATGGACTAACAATCTTGTGTCAGAATCAACATTTCAGTCCCTTCTCCCCTCTTGGGGGAAATATAAGCCCTGTTTCTACCACAGCTCAAGCAATCAGCAATCCTGAGATCTCTGAAGCTGAAGGAGAGCAAGGCACTGCGTGTAATGGGACAAAAACGCCAGCACAGGCCCAAGCTCTGTGCTCTGGGTCCTTCATTCATGCGTTTGGATGGCAGTACTTAGGTAGCCTTTTCTTTCCATCCCTTTCCTCCCTGTTTAAAAGAAGGGAAAGGCCATGAATCCAGCACTGAAGTATCAGGCCAGCTGTGCTCAAACAGAGCTGAGGTGTTGCTTTGTAGGTGGGGTGAATGCAGGGGGTAGGGGAGCAGTCAGCAAAGTCTCTGGTCTGCTAGACCAGCCAGTCTTGAGCTCAGTGGCACAGGACGTGTCTTCCCGAGCACAGGTAAAACTCAGCATGCCTGGCCCTGTTTTCCATTTCTATAAGAGAGCTTCCTAAGCTATTTTGCATCTCACTGTGCAGCAAAGCAGCAATTGGATTCAGCATCGCTGGGCAAAACACTACTGCTCCTGGGACAGGACCTCACGTGGTGGGTGCCATCCAGGGTCGTTGCTCCATCCTCCATCCTGCAGTGAGCTGTGTCTCCCGATGTCGTGTCCAGCCCCACCTGCAGTCCCGGGAGAGGCGTTCCTGGTGGTCGGCAGCACCGTGGTGAACACTAAGAGATGGGACCATGAGACACGGCTGGCGAGAGTCAGGTCTGAGAAGTGCGAGGCTGAGCCCCTCTGCTGTTGCATCCAGGGGATCCTGTTGCCCGCTGGGTTGAACCCAGTGCCCAGCTCTCCTCACTCAAACCACCAGGTGACCTGGTATTTACTTTAGTTCATGAGCAAGGGTCTTTTCCCTTCTCTGGCTCTTCCAGCAGTCTCGCATGTTTTAAGCTGGAAAAGGATCACACTGGTTGCCAAGGTATCCCCAGAACATAGCTGGCCCCTCGTTTTAGCCAGTTGCCTTCTGTGTCTGCAGACCTGTAAATAGCCACCTGGTAATTCTGTACCACTCAAGCAGGTCACAACCCCTGACATTCCTGCAGCGCAGCCCAAGTCTCAGCCTCCTCCTACAGTTTCCACTGTTTTACGGTCATGTTTTGTAGATGCAGTTGTGAATTTACGCTCCTTTTTGGTGGGTGCATCTGTGGTCTGGTTAGCCTGTTGGAAGTGCTCGTGCAGCATTTTATGTGATGATCTGTGGTCCAGGGGTCCATGCTTTAAACTGGCATTTTGTTATAAGCACATGCCATGTTCCTTTGATTTTATTTTTTTCCTCCTTAAAAAAATTGACCTGGGGTCACCCCCTGCAGAGCCAGAGCAAGATATGCCCTGACCATTTGCAATCAAGAAAGATCAAAGGTGTCTTCTTACTTCACATCACTGCCACCTCAGAGCTTTTATCTCTTATGTTTTTAGCTGTTTTAATTTGAACAAAGCTGCTGACTTTAAGCAATTACAGCCTGTCAGAGAATCATTGCAAATCATGCAGATCTGTATTCATAGCTGGAAAGGCGGCATTCAACCCCGCCACCCGTACATGTGAAACTTGAAGAAGTGCAAGACTCCTGTCCTCTTCTAAGTGCTCTTATTGTTCCCGTCCCCATATTAGCAAAGACTCTTGTAATCCTTAAATTATCCTTATATTGTCTTTTAAGATGGTAGGTCGGTAATTATTGGGGCTTCCTAACTCCAGTGGCAGTAAGTCCCCCTCTGCCAGGCTGCTTGAGGGTAAAACCACCCAGGTTCTGTAACGCTCAGCCCACCAGAGATGGATGCCAGTCCCAAACGACACAGGAGAGCCATGGAGGGAAGATTTCATTGCCTGATTCTGTATGAAAAGGTGCTAATTTACAAAGTCTTTCGTTATTAAAATAGCAGGTGGGCCTCACGTGGGTTCTGTCAGGGAGGTTTCTCTTGGTGGCAATGGAGGAACCGCGCTGAACATCCCTTCCCTGTGTTGGTGCTACATTCCCAATACCAGGAATTTGGTAGCGTTCAAATGCAAGCACAGTGTGCCAGGCAGCCTGGGCCCAGCACAGGGAGAGCTCTGGGGCCACCGACCCCCCCTGTGGGTACAGCACTGCACACCCCAAACATGATGGGGCTGAAGCTGCGTCCAGTGAAGGCACAACTCCTGTGCTGTTCGGAGCTGGCTCCTTGGGTTTTATTTCTTATATTAAGAAGCCTGTGAGGTTGGACACCTTGAGAGGGTTGATTTTTGCACCGGAACAATCACTACTTCGTAGTCCTTAATACCAGCGTGGGTTTATTTTTAATGCCCTCAAACTGGAGAGGGTTGCTGGCAGATACACAGTACTGTAACTGCTGATGGGGGCTCAAGCACTAGCAAACCCAGAAACACAAACTGTTTCTTGTGACATTTATTTGTTAGAACTGTAGGAAATGAGGACTTCTCCCAGGCTCAGACGTCATTTTTTAGTTCAGCCTGAGTAAAACACTTTTTTTTCCTTTAATTTATTCCTTAACACGTGCCACTTTGAGATCTCACACTCCTTACCGTATCTTTTTAATAGTCTGGTATTTTAAAATATGTGTTTTGTTGTATAGATGTTGAACTGAATAAATGTTTTGCCGTATAATTAATGCATGGTTTTAAAAAATGAGGGATAAAATGTTATCACATGTAAAGACTTTACTAAAAATGCTTTGGAGGAGAACTGCTCCAGTGCTCCATGGCAGATGCAAAGTGCTCGGCTTGGTTTCTGGTCTCTTGGTCTCGGTTTGTCAGCTGGCTCGATCTGACCTTTGCTGGATTAAACCCCAAATGCTCCATTTCGCTTTCTGCTGATCAGGTTTCATACCGTGATTTCACAATCCTGGCGCTGTCCCTGGGGAGATCTCTGTGCGGGTTTTGCCCAGTGGGGCCCCTGGCAGTGATAATTTACAATATCTTCATTCCTTCCAAGGAAATGTCCATGTACAATCAAGCTCAGAGGCAGTTTGCTGTTATTTCAGTGTAAGAAGCCTTTTGTGCGCTTGTCGTGAGGACAGACGGGGGTTGTAACCTGTGCGCAGAGACTGCACTGGGGAGGGACCCTGAAATAAGAGTTTGAATTTGAGTTAATGCTATTTCCTTCTCCTCCTGCCAAATGTAAAGACCTAAATCCACGCTGGTGCGAGCTGCCTCACCTCCCTGGGCTGTGGAGCTCCTGCACTGTGGTTTTACAGCACAAAGACCTTGGTCTGGGAACGTGGTGGTCTCCGGACCAGGGATGTGGGCAGAGGTTGGCACCTCCTGGGTGCCTCACGAGATGCGAATGTGCTCTGGTGTTTTGTGCCGCTTGGCCGCAAATGGTTTCAGAGGAGCGATCCCCTGTGCACAGCTGAGACCCTGCTGAAGGCTCTGCAGAATCAAGGCTCAGACCAGGAGCGTAACCCCACGGCAGAGCATCAACTTCAGCCTGCGAAATTAAGGTAGATCAACGTGGAGCAGACCCACAGACTGCACATTGACCACTGAATGCATTGATCCTCTTGGAGTTTCTCTTTTAAATTTGTATTTCCCTGCCTGCTTTCTTCTTGTATTTTCCAGTATTTGTGATTCTATTTTTAACCCCCCAGTGTATTTTCATAAAATCTCTTCCATGTAAATAATTCCAACTTTCCTCTTTCCTGACACTTGGGAAATGAGAAAGTGTTGAAAGTCACAGTTCTGGCAATGTTTGGTTTTTTGTATTCTATTTTTTTTTTTCTAAATTGCGTCTCTAGCTAAATGAATCAGCTCAAGGGGAGCTTCCCGTTCAGGTGTTGAGTGCAGGTCTCCGTGCATCTCTACCTTCTGACGGTGCAGTTGCGAACACTGAATATCCCTTCTGTGAAGGCTGCTGGAATTGAGTTTTGTATCCTTGTTTCTGCTAACCATCACTTTCCACTCCATTTGTATCCGGTAAATGAATCTGTATTAATGGACTGAAAATACAACTCGTCATCGTGTCAAAACGCTTGGCTTTGGTCTCGTTTCTGCTTCTTTTGGGGACTGTGGGCTGAGTTCTGCCCTTGTCTGGCACTGGCAGTGCTGCCCCAGCAGTTGAGATGATGGGAAATGGCCCAGAATCGCAATAGAAATGGCAAGACTCAATTGGGTTTGCCTGGGAGAGAGAAATTGCTGGCGTGAAACAGCATAGAAAGAGAAAATTGGACTTCTTGAAATAAACAAATTTTAAAATCCTGATTTAAAGGAGTTTTAGTAATCCAAAAGCATTACGAAAGGCACAGACAAGAATGGCCCATCTCCAAAATAGAATCAACTTGCCACTGTTCCTTTTAACTTTCAGTAAAAGAAATACAGCACAGAGAGAGGAAAAAGCAGATTACTGTTGTCCTCCAGGGAAGAAGAGATGAATAAAGCAGCAGTGGC